CTATAGCTACTATACACTATTTCAGTGTGATATTTAAGATAAATGTGTATACAGGTTCTTGAAACACACTATAGCTACTATACAATATTTCAGGGTGATATTTAAGATAAATGTGTATACAGGTTCTAGAAACACACTATAGCTACTATACACTATGTCAGTGTGATATTTAAGATAAATGTGTATACAGGTTCTAGAAACACACTATAGCTACTATACACTATTTCAGTGTGATATTTAAGGTAAATGTGTATACAGGTTCTAGAAACACACTATAGCTACTATACAATATTTCAGGGTGATATTTAAGATAAATGTGTATACAGGTTCTTGAAACACACTATAGCTACTATACAATATTTCAGGGTGATATTTAAGATAAATGTGTATACAGGTTCTAGAAACACACTATAGCTACTATACACTATTTCAGTGTGATATTTAAGGTAAATGTGTATACAGGTTCTAGAAACACACTATAGCTACTATACACTATGTCAGTGTGATATTTAAGATAAATGTGTATACAGGTTCTTGAAACACACTATAGCTACTGTACAATATTTCAGTGTGATATTTAAGATATTTTTAAATGTGTGTACAAGTTCTTGAGACACTATATATAGCTATTGTACGATATTTTAGTGGGTATTGAAGTTTTACTGATAATCATTAGTATCAATGACATCTTCATTTTTGTAGGAATGTAACTTTTATTGATTGGAACTTTACTGATATTCACCTTCTGAACTGTAACAGACATTTACATTTTTGTAGAAGTGTAGTTTTTATTTAAAGAATGAGAAGAACTAGGATAGTACATTAAAATATTTTAATCTGCTCTTGAATGCAACTGTACAAGATTCTGGTTAAGGTTATCACCTGGGAAGAAGTACACAAATGAAAGGATATTTTTTATATTTAACTCTGTTATGGCATTGTAACAAAGTTTCATTATTCTAGAACACAGTACTTGGTAGTTTTCATTGTGCAATTAAATTTGTAACTTTTTATTATTGTAGTAAATATAAATACAAGCTTGTGTTATCTTACTTTAGTTTGTGATTATAATTCTGTATTTGTTGTTTAAAGATATATTAAGTTTTGTAACTTTAGTGTTAAATGATTTATTTTTTGTGTTAAACCATTTAAAGTGTTTGACAGGTTTTGTTTTCCATTAAATCGAGTAGAAGATGTAGATGTATATCTTGCAGGAGTTCTATTGCTTCATTGCCCATATGTGTAAAAGTTGTTAAGAGAATAGTTGGTTTCCTTTAATGAGCATGTCTTTATCACAGTAAGGGTAATAGAAATATAGTGTTTCACAACGTGAAATCACTTAGTAAATTGTTCGTAATTATGAAGTTGTTGTTGAAATAATAATCTGGTTTGAAAATTTTTATAAATTATATGTCAAACAGGGTTTTCTCTATTATATCAAAAATGTGCTTGTTTTTACTGATGCATGATTTATTTCAATCATTTGTTAGGTTTACTGTCTTAAAGATTGTGTTATTACAGATGCACCTGACATTTAATTAGGCTACACTTGGATGTAGTCATTTGCTTTTTGTATTCCATACTTTGACAACGGAGTATTAGTTCCTTTAATGTTGTTACCATGGTAACATTTATTGTACTACATGTGAGTGGACAAGTGTAGGTCTCTGCAAGAAGCTCATTTGCATGCATGATATTGACCAGTTTTAGTTAGGTATTGCAGGAACTAGAACAGTTGAGATCTATAGACAGTAAGAATTAATGATTATTTTTTATTTTTATATATGTGAAATGGCTAAAAATGCTGCCCTGTAGTTAGGTATGTATGTATAGAATTTATTTGCACAGAGAAGGTCTCCGTGCTGTTTATAGGAATTAATAAATTTTTTAGATTCGTTATTATTGGATATAATTTATTTTGCTCTCTCAAACTTCAGATCATAATTGTTCATTTAACACTGATTTACTTTTGTTTCAAAGCAATACAGTTGAATAAAGTGGAACATTTCTTGATAGAAGTAGCTGTTCAAAAAGAAAAAAAAGGTCCAAGTTTAAAACTATAAAAAATGTAATTATCTTAACCTGTTAACACTTTGGTCTTCATATATAATCCTGATTTGTTTTGACCAATTTACTAAATGTCATAAAAAATATTCATATTCTAAGAAATTCCAAAGGTAAATTAAGTACAAATCTAAGAAATAATTGAACTGTATTCTGTATCCTCATGAGTTGAAGGAGTGAATTAAGTACAAATCTAAGAAATAATTGAACTGTATTCTGTATCCTCATGAGTTGAAGGAGTGAATTAAGTACAAATGTAAAGAAATAGTTAAACTTTATTCTGTAACCTCATGAGTTGAAGGAGTGAATTAAGTACAAATGTAAAGAAATAATTAAACTTTATTCTGTATTCTCATGAGTTGAAGGAGTGAATTAAGTACAAATGTAAAGAAATAGTTAAATTTTATTCTGTATCCTCATGAATCGAAGGAGTGAATTAAGTACAAATTTAAGGAAATAGTTGAACTGTATTCTGTATCCTCATGAGTTGAAGGAGTGAATTAAGTACAAATGTAAAGAAATAGTTAAACTGTATTAAGTCAACTCTGTAATGTTTAAATATGATGGTTCTCTGCTGTATTAAGTCAACTCTGTAATGTTTAAATATGATGGTTTTCTGCTGTATTAAGTCAACTCTGTAATGTTTAAATATGATGGTTTTCTGCTGTATTAAGTCAACTCTGTAATGTTTAAATATGATGGTTCTCTGCTGTATTAAGTCAACTCTGTAATGTTTAAATATGATGTTTCTCTGCTGTATTAAGTCAACTCTGTAATGTTTAAATATGATGGTTCTCTGCTGTATTAAGTCAACTCTGTAATGTTTGCTTTTTTGATTAATGTAGTTTGTTCTAATCAATCAGAATTTAATGATATTTAAGTCTGTGGATGACAAAATTATACAGTACAGCTATGGTTACTGTATAATAATTTTTTTCTCATCAGCACAACATAGAACTACGAGATCCAAGAGGAAGAACCCCTTTGATGCTTGCCGTTGCTTTAGGTCACCTTGAAACTACTCGAGTTCTGCTGAGGCATAATGCCAATGTGAACGTTGACTATAAAGATGGTTTTACAGGTAGTTTTTCAAATATGCAAATTTATAGTACACATTTTCTTCATAGCAATGTAGGATAAAATTTTGTTTATGTTCCTTTCTGAGTTTTTTTTTATCAGCTTGAAAGTTTTGTAAACAGATACCCACAGTTGTATCATTAGTTAGTTTTATGGTACTGCATCTAAAGCTGAAGAGAATAAATTAGTGAGAAATTCAAGTACATCTTGAAAGACCTAGAAACTCAAATGCTTTTGAATAGTTGACTATTCTTGTTCAGAAGCAAAAAATATTGCAGGTTAATTAATGTGGTGTAATAAATATTTGTGAGTTTTGAAATCTACTTGAATTATTTTGGGAATCCTTTGTGTTTCAAAAGCTTTTTTCTAGGTAATTGTGTTATTTATGAGTTCAACATCACAATGTATTATCAGGAAAAGATATTTATTGAGCAGGTACTTGTGTTCTACTATCTGTTGTCAGTATATATATATATATATATACATGTCAATGTAATCAGTTGCAAGGTTTTAAGTGTAAAATCAGTGTGATAATATATAAACTTGAATAGTACAGAGTGACCTTATGTCAACATGGTTAATACCAGTCTAAAATAAGCTATTAAGTGCCCAACATTGCTACTACTACTATGTGACATATGAACTTTATTTAAACAGATTGACCTCATGTTGACGTGGTTACTACTATGGTGACCATTGTAAAATCATTTGCTAGGTGCCCAGCATGGCTACTAGTGTGTGTGATGACACATGAACTTGATTTAAACAGATTGACCTCATGTTGACGTGGTTACTACTATGGTGACCATTATAAAATCATTTGCTAGGTGCCCAGCATGGCTACTAGTGTGTGTGGTAATGTACAAAGTTGACTAATACAGAGTAACCTCATGTCAACAGGGTGACTATTGTGGTGAACAGTCTAAAATCAGTTACTAGGTTCCCAATATATAGCCTACTTTTAAATATGTTTCAATAACTTTTTTAATGTAATTGTATTGCAAAGGAAGATATTTAATGCATCAATTGATTATTTTGTAAAAGTGTTTATTCTTAAACATACTTACCTCTTTTCACACTAGAGCTATGACTCGACTACTAAGGTTTCTTTATCTTTGCCCATCTAAACATTGGTCTAATTTTTTGTTGCTTGCTCCACTCTTTTGTTCCCAACTTAACCATCGGAGATACTTTGAGTGTTCTTCATGTTACATATTTATTTTCGTAAAGCTATTTTCTTAGTTGAGTACTGTTTCTCTGGGGTGCTCTGAGGCTGCACTTGCAGGCAATTCTGGAGAGAATTTAGATTTTCTTTTTGCAGCATCTTCCTTTACTCTGTTGGCTTCTCATGAGATCAGCTGCCTCTGGCTCCTTTTCTTCCATTGGTACATCGAGTGTGTAGTGTTTTGGGTCTTCCCCTGGTTGCTTTTGAGTCTGTTCCTTCCTTAAAGTAGGAAAGGTCTGAGGGCAAGTACTTAGTTCTTCCTCCATCCCATGACATTACAGTTCATGCAGGGTGGTTTACTGCCAAATTTGTCATAACAATATGTTTTCACCTACCACTGCTAGGTGGAAGTGTATTTAGACTCTTAGAGAATAGACCCACTCCTGGAAATCTGTGGTTCCAGATTGGAGTCTGGTCAACATGAATAGATCACAATTTTCTAGGATTCGTCTCATCCTAACTACGGTGCTGAAATATTTATCATCCCTACACCTTTATTAGGAAGCATCTCAGCAATTGCCACATCACTTTGATGGTGAGTTGGAACCATTGATAACATCCTTATTGGTTTGAATGCCAGCTTCTGCACTTTTCCTAGCCTCTTGGCTGGTATCTTGTTGGGATTTGTTGAATAGAGGACATTTGTTCACCTGCTGCTGCCCTCTGTGAGTTACATGAGACCCTTTTCTCCAACCCTTGCTTTCTGCAGGTGTTCCAGAGTCTTTGGATTTGAGGGTTGATGTCTTCTTTCTGCATTCATTCCTGTCATTGTTGTTTTGGTGAGCTTGGTCACTTTCATTGGCTCCAACGGGGGTCATAGTTCTGTCCCTATTCGAGTGTCCCAATCCTAGACATCTTGCTCTCTGTTCATGGGTACCAAGAATAGACTCTGCCCATATCCATGAGGTTCCTCCGCTCAGGCGGAATGCCATCAGTGGTGGCAAGGACTACCGTATGCCTGTGAGGTCTGTGAAGGCTCGGCTCCGAGAATTTCTGTACGTGTGGAAAACCTTTATTATGGATCCATGGGTACTACAGATCCTTGAATCAGGATTAGTCATTCAGTTCACATCACCACCACCATTATCCCCCAACCTGTAGTGGATCTACTTCCTGTAGATCCTTGGATTTTGGAACTTTGTTCCATGGCTATCGGAGATTTGTTGTTCAAGGGACATTGGATAGAGTCATTCCAGTTCTTTCTGGGTTTTATTCCCATCTGTATGTTGTGCCCAAAAAAGAAGGGAGATTGGCATTCAGTCATCAATCTTTCTTCTCTAAATCAATTCCTAGACCCTCCAATTCTCATGATGGAGTCATTCCTCACTCTGCATTGGTATTTTTTTTTCCAGGACTGTGGATGATCAATTTTGGTGTCACTAACTCCTATCTACACAATCCAATAGCAGATTCATGCGGTCACTTTTTGCATTTTGTGCACAAGGATTTGGTACTGCAGTTCAGGTCTTTGCCCTCAGACTAGCATTGGCTCAATATGTGTTCTGCCGAATCATACAAATCGTTTTTCGTTACCTTCATTCTCTGAGCCTGGGCTCACAATATTTTGTGGACGTCTGACTACTGCTGGCACCATCTCGTCAGTTGATGGTATGTCACACTCAGATACTGCTTTCCAAAGCAACCAAGCCAGGATTTCTTATCAGAGCTGAGACATCTCTTCTCACTCCAACACAATATTATGTTCATTTGGGTGTCTTTTTCAACACATATCTCAGTCAGTCTCTGCCAACTCCCATCTGGCTCCATGCTATGGTACAGGCAGTGTCACTCTTACTCATGTCTCCTTCTCTCATTCCTATGGGATGAGCACACATAAGATCCCTTCAGTGGTTTCTACATGACCAATGGATGATGAACAGTGATCCACTGGATTCTGTAGTTTCCTCATTCAGGATCAATATCTTCAATTTAGTGGTGGTTAGATCAGAACAATACTACGGTAGGTGTTCTTTCAAAACATACATACCTCCACTGACACTTATAGCTATTTCTCAATCTTCATCTTTGCCATCTAAACATTGTGTTTGCTTGCTCCAGTCTTTTATATCCCACTCGACTGCCCTCAGCATATTCTAATTTGCAAAACTTTACACCGGTCCTCACACACCCTCTATGCAGGTACTGTTTATAAGCACTGTATGCAGACAATATAATCACATTTTCTGGACAAAGCGTTAGTGCTAGAAGTCACGTTTTGTGGTTCACATTTTCCTCTGTAAAATTTTGAAAGTAGTATGGTGTTCTTTTTGTTTTGTTTTTCCCATTGCCAATATTTGATTGGTTTTCTTCTGCAGTTCAACAACAACAGCAAACATTTGTGGGTATAAATTCCTGTATAATGGTTTCTGGCATGGAGGCTAACCAGACCTCATCCATTCCTCCTTTGTTGTCTGGTGGTAGTCAGCGGTCTCGGTGGAGGCTGTCCGTGACCAGATTCGGGGTGAGTTAGAATCTTTTATGTGGCCCGAGGGTTATGGAGTTGATTTTCCATCATTAACCTGAATATACTGGGGAGAATTTAGACACTGTTTTCTGCTCCTTCTTTCACTAGGGCTGCCTCTACCGAGGGCTCATCTGATCAGACACCTTCTACCCCTTTTTGTGAAGTTTTGGGGATTAACCTCGTTGCTGTTGAGTCTATCCCTGCCTTTTTGTCAGATAGATTTCGGGGGATTACTTAGATTTTCATTCTTCCCCTGATATTGTTGTGCATGCCTGGAGGTTTGCAATGCAATTACGAGAGGGTATTGCTATACCTTGCCCCTTTGTTTATCAGAACAACATGCCCTGGCTTATTGTCCAGCTGCGGTATACTTGGCCACTCAATGGTTGGATCTGTTGTTGGATCTATGGGGTTCAAGGTTAGAACCTGTTATCACTCTTACCTTTTGTGGATTTGTTTGACTCTTACTACTGTATTGTGATACTTCTCTTCCATTCCGGTCTGAAGCATATCAACACTCTCCTCATCAATTTGATAATGAACTGGGGCCTTTACTAGTTACCCCCTATGGCTCCTTTGTCCTCTTCAGGCGTTGCCTTGGTGTCATGATTGGTCTGTGGCTGGGACTTATTGAATTGAGATGCCTTGTTGGAGGGTATTTGTTTGCTGTCCACTACTCTTCGTGATTTCCGGCAGGTGCCCTTTCTTCGGCCTTACTAGTTTCCTGGAGTCCCTGAAACTTTTGAAGCCAGATTTGATATGGCATGTTTGCAGTTTTCTTTATTGTCATTGGTAGCCCACCTCTCTTCTACTCCAACAGATAATTCTAGAGGATCAACCATTCACATCTCACGGCCCCTACCTTCGAAACCTCCTCCTATTGGTTCACAATCGGTTCCGTCCTTATTCTCGGAGGTCTTTGGACAGGTGTGGATGGTGCCAGCAGCGACTACCCATTGAGAAAATTGATTCTATTGATCCATGATTCTATTCTCGTCTATTTCTGGTGCTCAAGAAAACTGGAGATTGGCATCCTATCATTGATGTGTCTCATCTCAATTTCTTCCAACAGCCTCCTTGTTTCACCATGAAATCTTTTCTTCAACTTTACACCAGGTCTTTGGATGACCAAATCCGATGTTATAGACACCTACTTTCACATCTCCATAGCAGAGTCTTCTTGTTGATTTCTACATTTTGTGCATGAGGACCAGGTGTTGCAGTTCCGCACTCTCCCATTTGGACTTGTTTCAACATCATATGTTTCTGCAGAGTAGTATGGGCCTTTGAGCAGTATCTCTATTTTCTGGGTCTG